AATTAAGTTCATACCTGGGAGGAACATGTCCTCTCTCATGCAATGCCATGCAGATCTCCCTCAATTCTTTGGCTCGATCGCGAAAATCGCCCCCGCCAACTTCTGTTATCAGGGGGGGCAATAACAGACTGTCGCACCCAATGCTCGATGCAATCACCACTTCTAACTCATCATTTTGACCATAAGTCTCCATATATTCCTGTGCTAAAGGGTCAATAACATCAAGCATATAGACGGAATCATCACAATCATTAGGATATTTCATAGTATCAAAAATATTGAACTTGGCGACTTGTCCATCAAACTCCATCGTAAGAGTGCCCTGTCGAACATCAATCATCGTTTGGGCTGTATTCAAAAATGGTCTTTCCAATAAAATTGGGGTGGAGTTTGAGGACTTATCATCCATGTTCAACACATAAAAATCAGCAGGAAACACAAGATCATTAACTTTCACAAGAACATCCTCAACAACACCGTCGGGAAAAGTGGTACTACGATCGGCGAGTTGGATAACAACCCCGGTTTTCTTCAAAGGACCCAAATTCAGAGAATTAAAGATAGAACGAGGCATAACATTTATCGAAGCACCCAAATCTAACATAGCTCGTTCTATTTTTAAATTCCCGATTATACAAGGAATGAAGAACATACCTGGATCACTCCTCTTCTGTGGCAAGCTCTTCTGGAACACGGCTGAGACATTCTCACCCATTATCACCTTCTCGTCCCCCTTTAATCGCCGCTTATTCGTGCACAAGTCCTTCAGAAACTTCGCATATTTTGGAACTTGTTTTATGGCGTCGATTAGGGGAATATTGACCTCAACCTTTCTGAAAACGTCCAAGATTTTCTTCCCGGCATCGTCTTTCTGTTTCTTCTTGATTCTTGATGGAAACGGCAAAGGTTCAGTCCACCTCGGCTCGGTTTCGACGGACTTTTTCTTCATTTTTGCTCCAGTCGTACTGCTATCAGGGGGGGCGGTAGCAGCAGAATCTTGAGTATTTTCACCATCTTCTTTCTCGTCCGCATTTTCCTTCGATGGAATAGGACCCTCGGGGGCTGGGAGCTCCTTACCACTTCTCAATGTGATGGCGCTGACATTCCTCGGATTCGTCTCTGCTTGGGACGGCAGTTTGGAGTTCACTTGCGACTCCAACTTGTTCACGTGATTCGACAATGAGGACATTTGCCCCTCCAAGTTCTTAATGCTGGACGCCATGCTCTCCATCAGCTTTTTCATCTCCGAAGATGAATCATTCGGTGGAAGGTTAGTGTTGTGCTCCCCCGTGCCTTGGTACCGTTGGTAGCCTTGTCCCCTTTGAAAGTTTTGGGGTTGCCTTCGGTCTTGCTCCCCAAACTGGTTGCCGCTATTATTTCCCCATCTCAAATGTGGATGATCTCGCCACCCGGGATTATAAGTGTTTGAGAATGGGTCATAGTTGCGTCTAGGCTTGTAAACAAATCAAATTTTTTTGATTCGATTCGATATTCGAATTCGATATTCGTGATTCGAATTCGAAATATTCGAATACGAATAATGTTTTATATTCGAAAGTTAAACGAATCCGAATTCGAAGTTGTAGATATTCGATTCGAAATTCGAATATTCGATTCGTTAA